TTGGAAAAATAAGAGGCCCAGAATAGCAAATGTAGTCCTTAGCCAGAAATATGAAACAGGATTTATTACAATAACAGACCTTAAATTATACCACAGAGCCATAGTAACAAAAATGGCATGGTTTTGACACCAAAATAGGCAAGAAGACCAATGGAACAGAATTGAAGACACAGAGACAAATCCACATAAATATAGTTACCTCATACCAGACAAAGGCACCAAAAAATACACAGTGGAGAAAAGATAGCCTCTTCAACAAATGGTACTGAGAAAACTGGAAATCCATTTTTAATAGAATAAAAGTTAACCTCTATCTCTCACTCTGCACAAAAATCAACTGTAAGTGCATCAAAGACCTAGAAATTAGACCAGAAACCCTGCATCTACTAGAATAAAAGATTGGCACAACACTTAAACACACTGGCACAAGAACCGACTTCCTGAACAGATTCCTAAAGCGCAAGAAATAAAATCAAACATCAACAAATGGGATGGCATCAAACTGAAAAGATTCTTCACAGCAAAAGAAACCATCAAAAACTGAAGAGAGAGCCTACAGAATGGAAGAAACATCTTTGACAACTGCACCTCTGATAGGGTATTAATTTCCAGGATGTACAAAGAACTCAAAAAGCTTAACACCAAAAAAAGGAAGTGACCCAATAAAACAGGGCAAAGTAACATAACAGAGACCCTTCTCAAAAGAAGAAATACAAATAATCAACAAATGTTCAACATCACTAGCAATTAGAGAAATGCAAATTAAAACTACGCTAAGATTCCAGCTCTCTCCAGGCAGAATGACAATTATCAAGAACAAATGTTGGCAAGGATGTGGGGAAAAGGGAAAAAGTCCCACTCACACATTGTTGGTGGGTCTGCAACTGATGCAACCATTCTGAAAAGCAAAAAACTTAGAATGGAACCACCATTTGACCCACCTATCCCACCCCATGATATATATCCAAAGAATTTTAAATACTACAGTGACACAGCTACATCTATGTTTATAGCCACACAATTCACAATAGATAAGCTGTGAAGCCAGTCTAGATGCCCATCAATGAATGAATAAGGAAATCATATATATCATGGAAATGCATGAAATATTACTTGGCCATGAAGAAGAATGGCCTTATGACATTTGCCAGGAAATGGATGGATCTGAACAATATCATGCTAAGTGAATAAGCCATTCCCAAAAAACCAAAGGTTCAATCTTCTTGATGATATATGGAAGTTAAACCACAATAAAGAGAGGGAAGGGAAAGAAGAGAAATTCAGTATTATTCAGAATTAGACAAAGAGGAACAAAGGGAAGGGGGAATATGAAAAACAGTAGAATTAATTTAATATAATTTTCCTGTGTATATATGTAAATACCATCATGGCCACCTACACAAGTGGAGTCCTAATTAGAATAAGATATTCCATGCTTGTAAAATTGTATCAAATGGATTCTAATGTCACGTATAACTAAAAAGAACCAACAAAACAAAATGAAAAAAGAAAGGGAGTGGTCCAGAGTCTAATGCAAGCAGAGAGAGCTGTTAAGATAAGGTCTGGAGAGTCTCCGTTGTTTGGTACAGAAGGATCGATGTGCTTAGTCAAGCGTTGGACGCACTGTCCTGTGAGTCATTCTTGTTCCTGCCAGATGGTAGAACCAATATCCAGAAGATGGCTATCGTAGAGAGAGATGGAAAATGATTCTTTCATTGGTAAGCAGTTAGCTATAAAGCTTCTTAACTCCTCTGGGCGTCCAGGATTCTGCTATGCTGGTATCAGAGCTGACCAACTTTGAATCCTTGGCAGTAGGGCTTGAATAACAATATTCCCCCGATGGTGTAGGGTCTTTCATTAGGTGGACATGACAACACCTCAAAGCTGGTAACACTAAGTTGTTATGTAAGCCACTTTAGGAACCCATAGGAACTCTTTCCCCTCATTTGCACAGACTCAGCCAAAACAACTATGTGCAAATAACCTAGACTCATTTGGTTAGCAGTTTACTTTGCTTTTTGACTTTTAATTCAAACTAAACATTATATAAGAAGTTTTGATAATAACCCATGAACTTCATCTTTTTTAAAAGGTAGTGTAGCTCTCTTCCTGTAGGGTAACCATAGCAACTGACAAGGAACAGAGAAAGAGAGCTTTCACACATGCTGTGCTAATTAATCCTGTCCTACAGTTCTCCTTCAGCTGGAGGATGCAGTTTAATAAATTTTGCATGAGTAAGCGTGTTTTGATGCATGAACTATATAAATACATAGTATTAGCTTTACCAAATTTTTTTTCAAAAATATTCAGTTGAATACGGTTGTATATTCATACTTCATGGTATTCTTTCTGTTTTTCTTTAATATTCTTTTTTTTTTTTTTTGATTGAGCTGCTGTTTTAAGTATGTACTCCCTCCCTGAAATAATTTGGGTTTATTGACCTTATTAACTGGACAGAAACATCTTTCAGGTGAAAACCTTTTGTTCATCAATATACAGGACACTTTCCACAAGAAACTGTTTTAATTGACTAACTCTATTAAAGGGAGAGGATGAAAGAGTTTTTCTTCAAGCAATGCAGGAGACTATCTTAAAGTATATAGCATTCTTCATTCTGTTCACACTTACATAAAGCCATTTTAAGAAGCTCAGTCTTAATGATTTGAAAATTTATATATTGAAAACTCATTTTCACTGTCATTTGTGAAGTTTAAGGCCCATCTGAATGAAGATGGGGCTTTATTTGACCTCAGCATGTGGGAAGGAAGAGAGAATTATGAAGATTCAGATCTTTTTCCATTTATATTTTCCACAAATATCTAACCACTTTAACAGATTCATATTTGATCTGGAAATTACTTGTAATTATCTTGATTAATACTATTTCTAGGTTATCTTAAGACCTAATTTTCTCTTTACAGTTGAGAATGTCACAATTTTTTCTATAAACAGACTGGTCATCTGAAGTGTCAAAGAAATCTCATGGGTTTTCATTCTTTTATCCCTGTGGCCTGGCTTTTGACAACAGGGCCTCAGGAAAACCAAGAGAATCCAGCCTGATTTTTTTTTTCCATCCTATTTGACTTGACAACAGCATATGGAACGAGTCAGAACCTATTTTAGGACTTGTACTTAGCTCTTTGGTCTCTTTATGAAAGCATAGTCATTGGAGGAACCAGACCTTTTAAATGCGATGACCAAATTTTGGTGCTACTTTCCCTTTCTGATTATTCTGTTACTTAGTTTTTCCTGAATTGGGGTTAGACAAAACCTTGCAGAGGAAAGAAGAGGTTATTATGTAAATATGTTATTAGAAATAGTTATTCTATTCATGTGCAGGAAAATTGAGTACCATGCGTATAATCTATATATTTTAATATGGAATGCTTTAAGCATTGACCAATTTATAATATACCTTCACATTATTATAAAAATTTCACTGTAGAAAAAATTGAGTGGCTATAACCTTGGTTGAATTTATGAAAAATTCTTACCTGCTTGCCTATAAATTCTAATTTCACATGGAATACAGAAAATAGAATGCTATATTTAATAAGCAGAAAAACTCATGTTCTTAAATACTACATAAAAATTTTAGTAATCAGAACATTAAAATGAATATGGAAAGGAGTATGCACTGTAAAATGTTTTGTGTGCTTTGAGCATCATAGTAGTAAATATTACTTTTTATTGTATTAGTAAGTGTTGCATTGCTGTGACAAAATACCTGAGGTAATCAAATTAAAAGGAAGAAAGATTTGTTTTGGCTCACAGTTTCAATCTATGGTAGGTTGGCTTTATTGTTTTGGGGTCTTGGTGAGGGAGAATACCATGACTGGAAGTTAGTGGTGGAGAAAGCTGCTCATCTCATGACAGAAAAGAAGCAAAGAAAAAGAGAAAGAGACTGGTATACCAGTATCCCATTAAGGTCATGGACCAGTGACCAGGGCCTTCTATTAGGTGCCATATCCCAAAGGTCCCACCATCTCCCAATTGTACCACAGGCTGATGACCAAGCCTTTGGCATGTGGGACTTTGAAGAACACTCCAGATTCAAACTGTTGCATTTGTTATCAATGAACATACCAAATAGAGATCTAGCACAGTTTTTTTTTCTTCTAAAAAATAATAACAGTAGATTTTGTGATTTTTAAAAGGATGATATATTTATTGCACAACACTTGGAAAAAAAAGAACAAATTTAAAAAAGAAAAATCCTGTATCCTAGAAGTATTCACTGAAGGCATTCACACTATTTTCTGCCAGTCTTTTTCTATGTGTAAGGATTTTCAGTTATGAAGTCAAGCTGCATATACTATTTTCACTTCACATTGTGATCATTTACCCAGTGTTAAAAGATTTTTAGAAGACATTTTAATTTATTATATACTCTCTCATCACCTATATGTACCAGGTTTATTTGGTGATTCCATTATAATTGTTGACTTTTAAATGAGTTTCCCTACTAAGCGTTTCCTAGTGAGTATTTGAGAGAAGACTGAAACTACAAAAAGTTTTGGGACAACCCTTTGAAAAAAAAGTATCATACACTTTTCCTGCAGATTCACAAATACATATAAAAAGAATTAGGGGCCCTGAGAACTCTTCCAATTGTTAAACTGTATATCTTCCTAAATTCCATTTTTTCTCAAAGGAATCCTCTCTTATAACACAAATTTATAACTCTCAGAATAGAATTCTATGAAACATACTTGGAAAAATCCAGGATATATCTAAACTTTTCTGCTAAGTCTGATAGTCTTTAAATTATTTGTTTACTGATTCATGATATTTGTGCTTTATTTGGAAATATAAATGTTTTAATGGTTATTACCATGTATCAAAACACAGAGATCACAATATATTTTCCTTATGCTATTGCATTCATGATTCTGAATTACCATAGTGTGTTTGACCTTTTAAAATTATGAATGTTCAGATTTAAAGCCCTTGTTCTATTAATGCCAATTTAACTTGTTTATGTTTCATCTGACCCACAGGTCTTGCAAGAGCAAAATCTGTCCCCAGCCACACATACTCCAATGAAGTAGTTACCTTATGGTACAGACCTCCAGATGTCCTCCTGGGCTCCACAGAGTACTCCACCTGCCTTGACATGTGGTGAGAAATGGAAGCTTTACTCTACTAATCTATGTGTTGCTTGGTCTGGGTCAAGCCTAGACAAACATCTTAACAGTTTGGATGAAGATTAATGGTGCAGGATTGTTCCCTGTGTGGAAGTACTAGTAGATTTTTTAAAACATGATTGGGAATGTTCCCTAATCAGAGTCTGCCTGCAGATGGTGTCTGGTAATGGATTCTTGATGGACAGAAGCAGAGACATTTTTCTAATTGTTATTTTTCTCCTTAAGGGTCTTAATTGTGCCTTTATTTTATGACAAGGAAGTATATATCTCCAAACAGCAATAGATTTATTTGGAAGTTGTGGGGAACATGTTTAAATTCACAACAAAACTCAGACACATAGTCTGAAATTTTAAACATAAGTATTAGGTACAAATTGACTCACAATATGCCCTGAAAATTGTTGATACCAGTTATCTAAAATGAAATAAAATGATTAGTTTAAAAAATCTGAAGTTTAATTTTGGTAGTCTCAGTTTTATACCGTGTCTCAGCAGAGCTTAAAAATATATTTCATGAGGTCCAAAGATTGGCAAGATTTAATACATAATTATTATAAATAGTAAACTACTCTGAGATCGCACTCAAGTGTGATTTAAATGTCATAATCATATTATAAAGGATTAATCTTATTTTTAGCACTCAAGACAGGCTCACTGTCACACATGGTTATTATTCATAGAAACACCCCTTTCCTTGACTCACAGTTGTGTTCATATGAGACTTTTCACAGAGCACACAGACCTTCCCCTAGTGACTATGCCCCCAAATATAGAATTCAGCTATGTGACTGTGTCTGGGACCCCAGTCAAACTTCATTGTGCATTGTGGTCTTGCTGTTGAGTACTCACTTCACTGCTCGGTCCCCAGTAATCTTGGCTTTTTCAGTAAAATAGGCTGTGATGAGACCTGCCTTCTTCCCTGGTCTGTTTGATCCAAATATTTTATGGTTAGAAATCAGTCAAGTTCTTTGTAATGTAGGGCACAGAAGAAGATTTTCTGATTTTGCCTTCCAGCAGCCCCTCCCCATGGCCAGGAAGGGGATGTGGCGATCTGTAAAGCCACTGAAAATATATGCAACATTTTATGTACACATTGAGATATTTATTTTTGTAGGGTGTAGATCTGTAGCTTTCAGTAAAAGAAACTTGGTCATCAGACATCCTAAGATCCATTGTCATAAATTTTATAATGACCTCTAATAAATCCAATACCATTTAATGATATTCTAAAATGCTAAAAATAAAGGTGACTATCTATCATTGAGTGGCTGTGCTAATCCATTTAAACTGATGTTTACACTATTAATTCTCCCCCCCCCCAAGAATGGGTAGATCCTCCTTTGGTAAAAGAGATAATTTAGATCATTGGTTGCAATGGGGGGAAAGATTGGAAATTAAGGTTAATGCATCAGGCTATCAGTTACTTTCTCATTCCCTTTCTGCTTTCTGCCTTTGATTCAGAGTTGGCTAAGCATATAATCATAACATAATATTCTTTAGTTACAGAATTTTTGTCTGTAATATTTATTTTGCTACTGGGGATTGAACTCAAGGGTACCCTATCACTAAACTACAAACACCGTTTCGTTTTTAATTTTGAGACAGGGTCTCCCTAAGTTGCCCAGGCTGTCCTTCAACTTATGACACCCCCTGCCTTAGCTTCCTGACAGCACCTGGATTTCTCTATTTTTCTGAGCATGCAAATTCTGGATTGCCTTTCAATAAATTCAGTTAAGCCAGGTGTGGTGGTGCACACCTGTAATCCCAGAGGCTCTGGAGGCTGAGGCAGGAGGATCGTGAGTTCAAAGCCAGCCTCAGCAGAAGCGAGATGCTAAGCAACTCAGTGAGACCCTGTCTCTAAATAAAATACAAAATAGGGCTGGGGATGTGGCTCCATGGTTGAGTGCCTCTGAGTTCAATCCCTAGTAGCCCCCACCCCCACCAAAAAAAAAAGGAGTTCAGTTAAGGACTCCACTAATGAAACATAGTTTGGAAATATTTGTGGCTTGGAGCCAGTCTTGTCTTAGTTCCTTGGCAGTTCATTTAAGATTGTGCCCTCAGAATCAGGAGAAGCTGTGTTTTAATATGCTAGTGGCTAATTGTTCTCAAACCTTTAGAAGTGCTTTTTAAAGTCTAAAGAATTACACAGAGTCTGACTTGTTAATATGTCTGTTTCAGGCGTATTTATTTTCTAGTCCGTCTTTCCCCTCAAATGTGTGTGTGTGTGTGTGTGTGTGTTTTCATGTTTATTCTTTCTACAAAGATAGCGTGAGCACATTCTGCCAATTTCCTTTGAACAGAGACATAATGAAGCGTAAGAAGACGACTGTTATTTAGGAAGAAGGGAGGGAAACTGATGGCAAATAGGAGGCCCCCAAATGCCCTTTTGTCTACATGCCAAGATTATTCATTGCCAAGAACAAATAGCAAATGTGCTAGGTTTAAGTAGCTTCACTTCCAAGCCCTAAAATCTGAATTATGTCTGTGCTATCTATGCCTGTCATTTTCAATCTGACTTTATTCCAAGCCATTTTGTTATTATGCTTTAAGTCAGGTAAAAATGTATGTTTTTCCAGTTAGAGAGAAGCTCACAGGGCACTAATTTTGCATCATCAATGACACCAACACTGGATATTGAGAGACCTAGAAATGGGACAATAATTGAGTCATGGCTCAGCTGCACCAAAGAGCAGTGCAAATATTAACCCATGGACAATAGCAGGGAGGCAGGTGGCAGTGGTTTCAGGCTACTTTTACAGTTCATTTACCATCCTGGGGCAGTAGAGTAGTAACTAAAAACTAACGATCCCTACACAGTGTTACAGTTTCTAGTTTCCTGTTTAAATAGCCACAGGCAATAAAAATATTAATGAAGACACATATGCATTGATGTTGGCATCAAGTGATGGCTATTAGAGCTGGCGCCGAAATGATTCGATCCTCTAGGTCTCCAGTCCCATGGAAGTATGTGAATACACTGTGATTGGAGAACTTTTCAGGAAAGATTTTTTGATACCTTCCTCTGATTTAAGTAGAGGAATCAAATTAAACACTGCTTCTTTTATAACTTCTCTTAAGGCTTGGATTTTATAACTCTTTGGAAGTCAAAGCATAGGAAATCATTGCTAAGCTTCTAAACCAAAAAGGCTTACCAGGTTCTGGAAACCACATGAAGAGAAGTACAGAGGTGAAAAGCAGCTCATCTGTGTAGTTCTTCCCTTGCCAGGGAGCTCTGTTTTAGATGTTGAGATCATTGCTCCAAACAAACTTTACATTCTTTTATGGAAGCTCATAAATAGGTTTAGAACTGCATTTGTTTCCTAAAGCATTAAGTTACGTGGGCTTATTTTAAAGGATTAATGTTTAATATTGGGTGACTAAGTTACTGTAACTAATAAATGATTATCTCATCAAGATCACAGTGCTTTTGGGGGGCCCTGCGGTATCAACTACAGTGCTCCCCAACACAGTGTGCAAAGAATTACAGCATGCCAGTCTCTTCCTTTCATCATCTTTTTAAAAGCTAATTAACATATTAACTATGCTTGTCAAAATGTGAGGCAAATCACTTATAAATAAGCCTGTCAAATGTAATGAGATTGCATATTAAATCACCCGTTCCTCTATTACATCTCTGATTTAAGATTAAAATTAATTTATTTAACATTGTAGCAGCTGGGTGGTTAGGAAAAAATTTCCATATTGCTCTTGATATATAGCAAAAAGTCTGCATTAAAATTTATTTTACATGTTTCAGAAAAGAAATTGCCTGTTTATTAAGTACTATGAAACCATTTAGTACTGCTTTTTATTAAATAAGCCTAATCACCAGACATATTGGTAATATATAAATTTCTGCCATGATCATTAATGATCTCTTCTGAACCAAGAAAATTTGTGTAATAAAATAAATCTCCTACAACTTAGGTTTATTTGCTAATGATTTAAGAGAATCACAAATGAACCTTGCTACAGCCCATACCTTGAGAATAAATTTGTTTTATATGTGGTTCTATGGTTTAATTTGAATAATAATTATAATAAATAATAAAAGGTACTTTTATTGAACACAAACTCTATTTTAAGCCCTGTTATGCATTTTAATTACCTACCTATTGTACCATGATACATTGAAAGGAAACAAAACCCACAGAGACTAAGTGGTATGGTAAAGGTCATAGTTAGTAAATAGGGGCAACACTTATACTCAAGGCCAACACATCCAAAAACAAAGCCTTTTCTCTTTACAACTTATTATATAATATCATAAAATGATTTATAAGAAATTGCTCTTTATTTTGCTACTAAGGTGATTCCAAAGCACAAATACAATAAAGTTCCTATTTCATAATTCAAGTTATACTGTCATGTTAGGTTCTTTGCATAATTTAAATATAGTGTGTGTGGGGGGCTTTAATCCTCTTCCAACAGTCTATGGATTGTCTATTGACATCAATGTTCTAATAGATTCTACTTTGCCGATTTATTCAAGGATCAGCTTTTTAAAATAAACTAAGACAAGAATAACTGGATTGAATACATTTTCATGGTGCCAGTATCTGTGCTGGCATACATTCTTCCAAATTCCAGGCATTAATATTTTTAACAAATCTGCTAGAATGAAGGGGGGGTCCATTTTAAAAGGAATCCAGTAAGAATGAGAATTTGAGTTCATGAGCTAAGTAAAGTCATCTGTCAACCCTGTTTGCATATTTTCTAATTAATCAGGCCATAAGACCAAAGAGGACATGAATTAATCATTGTTAGATATAACAGCTCTTTAGGAGCGTTTGAGGGCTACTCAGGAAATGCACAATCCAAGTGACCTGTTGATGTAGTCACTGACAATATGGTGGAACATAACCGAAGAACTGGGGACAGTCAGAAAGGCATCCCAGTGTTTGAAAGCTGAGCTCCTGGTGGTAGCCATGGTCTCCAAGCCTGGTGCCACTACTGAAGTCTCTTAAATTTAGT